TATTTTTGTTAAGTTTATAAAGAAAAGGTAAATCAAGAGCAACTATAATATTTTAAATTAAGTTATATGGTAATTAAATTAATATTAATTGCCTTGTTAGAGTACATAAACATGTAAGTGGAGTTGAGTAATGTACAAAGATTATACATCAATGAGAAATAAAGTGTTAGAATAGAATATATATGTGGGAGGCCTATAAACTTGATAGGTTCTATCTTTTGACTTCAATATGATGTCTTCTCATGTGTGTTTGTGTTCTCACAACAAGTGAAATCACAGTTGATGATTCGATAGATTAAATGTTCAAGGACAAGTTTGATAGAATTGTGAGTGTGGAGAAGTTCATAGTGTAGTAAGGACGCTACAGCTGTAATCTCATGGTAGAAATGTAGATGGGCAAGGTTTGATGGACGAGTAAGTCCGAAATAGTTACACTTACGGAAAAAATACCCACATGTTCATGGAAGAGAATGCTAGAGTTAAGTAAAAACATATCTTTTAAATTCAATCTGTTATCTCACCTCACAATAAATTATTAGAGAGGTTATAAATGAAAACCAATCACTATCTTAATAAAATCTTTTAAAATTAGCAGACTTATCAGAACAGCACAAAGCGAACTAGCAGTATTCCAATGCTTGGCTCATTATATAAACACACGTACTCCATTTCAAAGTGTACACGCAAATGCTTAAGGTTTGCACTTTGAACGGCTTTAGCAGTACCACAATTATAAGGGTGTCAAGGTCACACATAAAGGCCTTAAATGCCTGGGAAGAAAGGGAAAGAAAAGGCACAAGCGAAATCTCACTCTTGAAAGTCTCTGTTGAGTGTGGAGGAACCTGAAAGGTGGGGCAAAGGTACCGACTTTTTTTGAAATTGTGGAGACATTGGATGATGACGGCCGGCTATGTTACCAAGACCAAGGCAATTTTTGCAAGATAGAATAGGGCTATGGCAATTTTTCTTTTAAAATTGTAAAAGATATCTTTTCTTTTTGAACTGAGAGAATATCTTGCACTAGTTTAAAATTGAAAATGATATCTTTGCTTTTTGAATTAGGAGAATATTTGAGGTAGAACATTCTAATTTCTAAGTTTAGAACATAGGAAACTACACACCTCCTCCTACAGCTGATGCATTTCAATACTAGTTCTAAGACTTAAATATTGGACCAAACTTATAACAACACGTACTAGATCCAACGTTAGGGTGTTAATTTTGCCATTTTTTTTAAGCATAGGAAGGTTAGAAAAAGAGCTAGACTTGTCAAATTTTCCTATTCATCATATTCAAGTTTCTTTAATAGAAGGCCGAAGAACATGACCTTCATTTTTCTTTATAAAAACCTTTTGTATCTTGTTGAATCCAATTGCAAAGACACTGATATTTGAGATAAATAAATTAATTGTTCTATAACTTAGAGAGAGATGATGAATGGACAGATGTATGCAGTTTGAAAGTCAAACTGTAACCGTTTTATCAGAACTTTACATTGTTGATCAAATCAGATGCTTCTACAAGACAAAAGGACAGACACCAAAACCAACCCACCTGAAAACAAAACTCCACCCTCAGTTTCTGTTTCCCCAACAATACTTCTTAGACCTCAAAAGACACTTGTGGGAGAAAATAAAGTGATCTTTCTGATAAATATGAATTTTGTGTTGTCTATGGTACTTTTGTTTGTGGGAATTGCAGTTTTGATGGTAATTCACATTTATCTTGTTGTGAGTGCCTTCAGGAGGGCTTATGAAGATGGTTGGGTGGTTCGAAGAAGCATCCATACCAGAACCAAGAGGATGTCCATTGAGGAGCTGAAGAAGCTCCCTTGCTTTGAGTACAAGGAGGCAGAGACAGGAAGCAGCGCTGTGGATTGTGTTGTATGCTTGGAGAATTTCAGAAGCGGTGACATGTGTAAGCTCTTGCCAAGCTGCAACCACAGTTTCCATGCCGAATGTATAGACTCGTGGCTGTCACAGACACCCTTCTGTCCAATCTGTAGGACTTGTGCTGATCCATCAAAACTTGGCAATGTTGGAGATGAATTGGCATAAATGGGCGACTGAATTCATATTTCGCTTTGTTGTCTCTGCAGATATGCAATATTGTCTGCATTTTAATGTCAACTTTTTGGTTCTCTTCCATTGGAGTCCAGTTGTTGTTTCTCCTGCTCATTGATCTTACAAGAACAGGATCAGAACTCGGAAGAGTTGGCTTTCACCAGGTTTAGATCAAGTAAGATGACCGGTTTCCTGCTAAAGAAAGTAAAAACAAGGAAGAAAAACAAATGTTCATAGAAATTGAGACTTCTTGTCTTCGGCCAAGCTGTTTTATCTTAGTTCGTGCTCCTTTTTTCCCTTTTGGGTGCGCATGGAGCTGCCAATATTTGACTTTGGGCTTTGGCTTTTACAATCAAACAAGATTTACCGTCTATGTTTTCTTGGTGCAATTGTTCTCTTCTCGAGAAGCTCACCAGCTTTAGCTTAAAGCGGTTTTGGCAGGTCTCGAACGCATCCTGGAACAAGTTACTGGGGATTTGAGAAACAGACTAATATCCACCGCACAAAAGGAAAAAGTTGGTATCCACTGATCTTTATTTTGCTCAATCATTTTGAAAAGTTTAAAGGTGTTAATTATTTAAGTTTAGTAGAAGTCGGTTGGTTCATACTTCCTACAGCAAAACAAAGGTAAGTATATTTATCAAGATTGCTTTGGCCCATTGGAGATACAAATCTGTGATGCACCGCAGTTCGCATTCCCCCGAACTGGAATAGCTTCCAAATCCACGAGGTCTAGAATTTTGCAGGATTCATAGAGAGATATGAAATGGATCAAGTCATTGACTGAAAGGCGTCTACTTCACAAAACCATGAATATTATAGTATCAGAATTTAGGATTAACACTTTGGACCAAGCTTCTAGGTTAAAGAGTTATAGCTCATACATTAATTTGCAAGCAAAACACTACCCATCGATCAAGAATTCAAACAAGAACGAAATGCAAAGGGAAATAATGAGTGCCAATGTTGCTGGATAAGTTCACAGCTTAGTTCTTCTCAGTATTGTTCTCAAGTTCCCTTCTCAGCTGCAAAGAGAAGTCATCATTGACATCATCATCATCCCAATCATCTTCCCACTGCTGTGTCACTTCCTTCCCTTCCTCCTTGTCCTCCCATTCTGTCAGAGATAGAAACGAGGTTACAATTGCCATCCAGAATGAAACTAGGAAAAGGCAAAATTGAAATGTTGCCAGACCAGATTATTATATTAACTTAGGAGAAAAGAATACCCTTTTAATCATGCAAAAGTGAAATGTAAGCATCTACACCAATAAACTTCACAATGTTAAAATACAATCATTCAACATCTTTCAGAAGCAACAAAACAGTGCTGCTATATGCGAAATTAAGACCAAACTTGTATAGCTGGCTTGCATAGCATCTTACAATATGGAAAGCTTAAGAGTTGGAGAACAAAAGGAATTGAGAGGCTAAGAAAACCATGAAAGTTAAGTTATCTATGGATGGAGGGCATCCACAGGGGTAGCTGACTGAAACCATGGACATTGGATGATGTGTGATGCTGGTAGCTCAATGATCAACCTGAAGTTGGGTCTCAAAATTTAATGGAGATACAAAGTGAATCATTAGAGAAAATTTAAAAGAAGAAAAAGAATATGCTTTAGTAGGGCTGACTAAGAGAAAAGGAAGGGGGTTCTTAACCTGTAGTTTAGTAAAGGGTAGATGGTTCATGCTTTCTGCACCAAAACTAAGACGAGAAAATAGATACTGACAGCCAACAATGTTCAAAACAGAGATCAGAATTTCAAATTTCGGCCAACATAAAATTTTCACATAACAATATCTATTAACAACCACAATTACATTATGGACTAAGCCTTCCATCTTTTCTTGCTTGGGCTTTCCAACCATGATGCCAGTACAATTAGCTTAAAATTCTAGTTTGATATGAACCCCAACAAGTACTTACAGAAACACACTCTCGCTCCCTGATTCAATACCAGTTCAATAAACTTTGCCTCATTCTCCCTCAAACCCACCCAACCCATCAAAAGGACTGATTCACTTCAGTGCCCAACCTTTTTAAATAAACAAAAGTAATAACTAATATCATACAAGCATACAGGACTTCTTATATGTGTTAAATCTCAAACTCGAATTGAACAACAAATTCCCTTCAGAAAAGTTAAAATTAAGCATACAAGATTACCTACTATTGCTTAACAAAATACATATACAATCAAGACTTCAAGTTATTTTTTCAATCGAAAACCCAAATTCAACAACAAATTAATTACAGAAAAGATAAAATTAAGCATACAATAGTCAATGCCCCCACTTCAATTCGAACCCTAACCATTAAAAAAATATGTAAAAATTGAAAAGAAAAGGAAGTAAATAATACCTTCATTGATTTCAAATTCCTCAAATTCATCGTCATCCTCGAACAAGTCGATCTTCACGTCTTCAGTTGCGGGTTTGGGTTCAGTTGCCATTTTTTCTCAGAGAAAACAAGTACCTACACAGCAAAAACCAAAAAGGTATAGCGAAACCCAAATCGAACCTCAAAGTAAACTTTTTTTTTTTGCTTCCGAATGCAGAAAGGAACGATTCTTAAACCCTAGGGAAGGGGAAAAGGAAAAATAGCTGAATCTAACAGAGGAAAACCCTAGCTTTAGCAAAATCAAGAACATAGAGAAAGAAATCTCACTCGATAGATTGAATATTCTGGAGACTTCTGGAGAAAATTTACGATCTGCTCTGCGATTATTAGACTGGGCGCTGTCGGCCTCGGAAAAATATACTGGGGGGCGGATGCCGTACTGTTAAAAAACGACGCCGTTCTTGCTTTTCAAGCAAGCCCCCTTTTTTTTTTTTTTTTCTTTTTTTCCTTAAAAAAAATTAAATCAGTAACCTACAACAACTTAGAACCTTTTTTCTTAAGAAAGCTTTACTGATTTTGTAAGTGTACAAATAGATGTGTCATTGAGGATTTGCAATTTTGCACTGCAAAGTCATGTATATATATAGAATGAATTTGGGGGAAATTTTACAAATCACGTGTTCTTTGTAAAATTCGAACAACAATGACAAGAATCACAAAAAAGGAATGCCAATGAACTGAGCTAATGTCACAAATACAGTCATTAGCTCTTACAAAAAATTGCAGATGATGCCACAAACAATACACCAAATTGTGTGTATTTACATGAAAAAAAAATGAGGGAAAAAAAGAATCACCAAAAATAAACAGGCTGATCATGTGAAACCGTCAGCCTAGAACAACTTGCTTCTTGGAGAATTTTGATGAGAGAACGCGCCTTCTTGCTCCCATGAGATGTACCTCCTGTTATAAGTGAGTATAGTGAATTCATCAGAGAAGGTTCCTTTGCTAGAACAGAAATAACGTCCTTGCCGCCATGCTCACACAGGGACAGCAAGATGGAAACACAGTACTCCTTTGCAGTCCGAGATGTTGAACACAGCAGAATCCTAGGAACCAAATTCAGGGCTGATGAAGTCTCTAGAATTGCAGATGTTCCATTGACATTTTCAGCCAAGGCTGCAAGAACTGCTAGTGAATCTGGTACGACCTCAGGGTTGTCGGCGTAATTAGATAGAATATCAACCATTAATGGAACAGTACCGGTTTCAAGTACCCTTGAATGGTTCCCTGGATATAACAGAAGCCCGAAAATTGCCACCACTGCATTCTTTTTCCCACATGTATTTCCCTCCTTGATCAGCTCAATGAGTCCCGGGATTGCCTCTGGTGTTTCACCGATCAATTTTCGGTACCCTTTCACTGAAGAAAGGTAGAAGATCGTTGCCGCAGCAATTTGCCTTGCTTCCAGAGTTAATCCTCTGTTAAGAACCCCAAGAACCGACCTCAATCCGCAATTTTCAACAATTTCTTTCCTCCCAGTAGTATGCTTTGAGAGCTTTAGCAGAGCAGCAATGGCGTTTTCCTGGTTGGACTTGTCCAACGAATGTAAAAGGTTTAGGAGAGGAAGAACTGCTCCCGCTTCCACCACGCAATACCTGTTAAAGATACTAGCTTTTGCAAGTAAACGAATTTCATAGGCAGCCTTGTTTTTCTGGTCCCGGCTTCCAAAAACCAGTTTTCTTGTTAAATGTTCCGATAGAAACTTCATTGCCTCTGCAGCTGCCGGACTTCCGGGGACTGTTGTTCTGCTTATGTCCCGAGTTTGTTCTCCAAGGGAAATGCCATTTCCTGAACAGAACTGTTTGATCAGTCTATGGAGATTTGTGTTCGGAACCAACTCTGTATTCGTTAGCTTCTCCCCTGTTTTGGGACAGAGACTGTTCCCTGCTTTCAGCCATTTCTCAATGGAAGATCGGTCGTAGGTCTGTCCGGTCGATACGGTGACTGGATCACTCATGAGCTCAAGTGAAATTGGACACCGGAAATCTTCAGGGTTCAGACAACTCACTGTCTCCGTATTGCATCTAACATCTGTTTGATCATCTCGACAATCCATTGTGTCAAACACAACTCCCCTGCAGTAGTTCATGAATCCTAGTAAACTGCTTAGAATTGGAACTTCTCGTTCTTCTCCACCCGAACTTTGAAAATGAAACTCTATCTGTTCTTCCAGGAATTTGATTTCTTTGTTGCAAAAGTTCCAGCTTTTGATCTGTAGATGATCAAGGACCAACTTGAAGTATTCAAATTCCTGCTCTGTTCCTTTCTCGAACTGGTTCAAGATTGAACGAACTTGTTTCATGGCATTTTCATCATTTGGGTCGATGTCAATTTTTGCCTTCCTCGCCTGCTTCGCAACTAACTCAACCAGTTCCTTCACTTCATTGCAAACCGGTATCAAATCCAATGGAAGGACGTCGAGGGCAGTTGCAATTGCTCGAATTAGAGTCCGAAATTGACTTACAACGAACTCTGATTTCATCAGGACCCACAATCTACCTCCTTCCCTCGAGCAGTCTTCTACAAGGAACTGGATTTTCTGGAAGGTGATATGAAGTTCAGAGAAACACAGTACGACAGATTCCGAGGGAACGATGTGGCGATCCTGAAACTCCTCGAAGAAAACGTGGAGGATTGCTATTTGGCGAAACATTTCACGGGCATTTCTTCTCTGGATAGCAAAAAACTTGGATCGGTAACTGCAGATAGTATGAGAAAGAGTAATTAAGGAGGAGAGAAGGGTGTCCGGCGAAATAGACTCACATGGGTGAACCGCCGGAAAAGACAAAATCCGGCGATCCGTTGGAGCGAATCTTCGAATCATTAAGTAAAGTGAAGGGAGTTAAACAACGGCGGAATCTGAATCTGATTTCTGTGTTCTGATTCTTTTGACGATGAATTTCTGTCTCCGTTAATTCAAATATAGGGAGAGGTTGGAAAATCTAGTGGACACGTGGCGGCTGACGACGCTGCCAGCTTACGTGACTGCCAACTTCGACGCGGTGGAGACTGAGTTGGCACTGCTAGACCAGAAACACTTGTTCTATTTCGACGTGGGAAGACGAGGTTGGAAGCATGCTGCTTCCTGGATGTTGCCAAGTTTTATAAGAAAAATAATTCAAAAAAAAATTTTATATATTTTTTTTATAATTTTATATATTTTTTAAATAATTAATTTTAATCATCCATTTGTTTAAAATTTTATATTATTAAGTATATTAATTTATTTAATAATAAAAAATTAAAATTTTTTGACATTAAAATATTAAAATATTTAATCATAATCATTAAATATATAAAATACATAAATTTTAATTTTATTAAATTTATTATATAATTAATATTAAAATATTTTAATTTTTTATTTTTATAATATATAAAAACTATATAAGAATAATATAAAAATATTATCTTTACATAATTATAATTTTCATAATCAGGATATGACGAACCGAGGTTGAGTCCCAATGGTTTGCTCTCAAACTTTAGGGCTTAAGTGATCTGGAGGTCAGGGTTTCGAGCTCTGCTACCACTGTAAACTCCACCAATTTGTGACTTAATGGTCACACATCTCATTTAAGGGGTGAAATGTTCATCATTCTGAGAATCTCAATTACTAATAATTAATTCATACTATTTTCTTAATCATCATCCATTAAAAAAGAAAACAAAAAAAAAAATCAGGTTATGACACGGACAGGTTGCCAAGTCCATTGCATGAAGTGAATTGACTGGTGGTGGGATCCAAAAACCGACTGTAACACGTGGGCTAATAAGGAGGTGCCATGTTTCCCGGGGAAAGGGGTTGTCTGAATGTTGAAAGCAGACTTGGTCACTTAGCTTTGCTTGGTTTAAACACGTGTATTGTATACACAAGAACTTATAATTGTAAATTTGTAATTAAACAGACGTAGTGTTATCTTTGGATTTGTTTGTTTCCCCATCATCCATTAGCAAAACCTTACTTTCAATTTTTAAATTTGTTTTATTTTTTTTTTAATTTTAAATTTTTATTAAAGTAAATAATTTTTTAAATTTATCAATTTAAATAATTTAATTTTTTTTATAATAAATTTAATATTTTATTTACATAAACAAATTTAATATTTATTATAAAATAATAATATGTCAATGTTTTATTTATATAAATTATACAGACATGTATTAAATTGATTGTAAAAAAATTAAATCATTTAAATTATGAAATTTAAAAACTTCTTCTTTTTAATAAAAATTTAAGATTTTAATTAAAAATTTAAAATAAATTTAAAAACCTAATGTCAAATTTTGCCAACAAATTATTTGGTCCCAATAATATTTGTTTACCTTTGTAGCTTAAATAATTAATATATACGTCTATCTCGAGATTAATCCTTATCCATTAAAGTTAAGTTAACAAAACTGTAATCGTAAAATGCATGGGTCAATTTGGCTGAAGGAGGACTCAGTTGAAAAGGTCCAAACAACTAAATATTTCCAGAATGTTCTGTTGGATGACAATTTTGGATCCCACAGTTCAGCAGGTGAGATGTCAGTATCTGACGCACACAAATATTTGACTAACCAGCTTTGAATGATTGGGCGTGTTAAACGTGGCCCAATGGCGATGGGACTAATAGTACGCGGTCGCTATATCACCATTGGAACGATATCTTTTGTGTGGCTATTAATTAACAACCTGATTTTCTTTGTGGCTCGCTGATAACCTGTTTATACCTAACTATTTTTTTAATACTCCTACGTGTCAATATGAGAGGGAAAAAAATGAGATTTGAAATGGTAAGTCCTTTGAATGTACTGTGATTAATTTTAGTCACAATTAGCAACTAGCACCCGATTTTGAAAACATGAAATTTTCAACTGAAAAAAGTTACTAATATCTATTGATCTACTTGAGGACTTTTGGTTAGAACAATAATATCTTCTCACAAAAAACTTCTTACAAGTCTTCGAGTTTGAATTCAACCCATTTCCCCTTCTCTAAAAAATGTAATCATGTTCAAAAAAAAAAAAATTATTGATTTATTTTTTATTTAATTGTTCAACTAATGTAATCTAAATGGTACCACAGTTTTTTATTTAATAATTTTAAGTGTTAATAAGTATTACCATTTTTATTGCTATATTTGAAAGTTACAATTCTATTTTACAGTTGTTTATGGCTAAAAGGAAATCTTTTAAAATCTACCAAATGTAGTTTAACAACTTGATTTTCTTAATATATTTTTTTATATTTTGTAGATTTTATAATTTATATTGTATTAAACTATAAAATATAGAGTTTTGAATGAATGGTGGATCCATGTAATTGGTATTATAGTCTCTTTAGTATTAAAGTCTCATATCCAAGAGTTTTTATTTTACCATTCAATATAATTTAAATTGTAAAATAATAAATTCATATAAAAATACTTAAAAATATTGTAGGCTGTTAATTTTATAGCGTGATAATAAAAATGGTTTTAAAGAAACAGTATCCATTTACAAAAATGTGTAAGACTTTTAAATCTTATATAAAATTATAAGCCATTAATTTTATAAATTTTAACGTTGAAATGGTAATATTATATTTAGTAAATTGATAAATGCATTACTAAATATAGTATCTTCATCTCAGCCCTTGATTTCACAAATCTAATGGTTGATAAATTACATAAAATTTCCAACTCTATCCTTATGTAACTTTATCGCTACTTTGGTTTAAATAATTGATGAATGATTGGCATTTGCCTTTGTTCTCACTAAATTTTGTGAAGATAGGAATAGGGTTATGTTGAGTGGGGAAGTGTACAGTAGTGTGAATGGCAGAACAATTTTGAAGGCCCACAAAAGCAAGCAGCAGCAGCATGTCATCCATACGTCATATTGGAGCCTTGGTTTATACACAGTTCATCTTTTAGTGTCCCACAAGAAATGTGTATTTTTTTGCATTACTTTGTCTGGCTGCAATGACGATCATGTTTTTTCAAAATGAGGGATAGGTGAAATGCATTTTAATTTATAGGTTAAGATTTAAATTTAATTTTTTTAAGTAGATATTAATTTAATATTATATTTTTTTTGTTAAAAATATTTTTAAAAAAATATATTTATTTTAAAATTAAAATTTAAAACATCAAGTTTTTAATAATTTATTACACCATCGTAAGGGCTTTATAGGGTAATTATTGGGTAATTTAATGGGGGTCGAAATTATTAAGAAAAGTCTACGTTTTAGATTAGACCGATCAACAATGAGGAATAGAATTATGGAATGGCCCATGTACCATAGATGCTTCAAGCCTGTAAGCAACCCCTTTATGACTTTAATGTTGTTTTTTTCCATACAAATGATATATTTCTTTCCACAAATTAAATTTGCAGGGGCCATCACCTGTGGCCGTGGAGGCAAGGCACCTTTATTTCTTATCCTTTTATCAATTTAAAGCTTCTTTCCCTTTCTAAACTAACATCGTGGGGTATCTAAAGTCTGAACACAGCCGAGAAACAAGAAAGAATATTTTGTTATATACCCATACAGACACTTCAGCAAACAAGTGAAAAAGTCACCAAGAAAAAAATCTTCAAATGTTGACAAATTAACGAAGGCTGGGATATGGTTACCTTACTAGCAAGCTAGCTATATGGTATGGAATCCGACATCTGCTAATATCTTGAAGGCTATCTTTGCACTTAATGCAATGACGCAGCTATTGAGGTTTTAACCAGGTGCCTACATACTCTTTAAGGTTGTGTTTGGTAATATATATTTATATTTAAAATGTGTATTTTAAATACATTAATTTGAAATATATGAATTTAAAATATATTATTTGGATTAAATAAGAAAAATGAATTTGAAATATATGTATATTTAAATACATTATTTTGATATAATAAAATACTACACATTTAAAATTAAATTTTTTATTAAATTATATCTTCTTTTAATCATTATTTAAATTTAATAAAATCAAAATTAACAATTTTATTCTTCCAAAATATTATTTAAATTATTTCAAAACAAACAAATAAGATTAAAAAAAAAAAAAAACAATAACCTCCACCAATCAATTTGTCTTCATATTCTTCATTAATTTTCTTTTTTTTTTTCATTGTCATACAATATTCAATTTTTACAATAATAAATTTATCATGATAAAATTTTACTATAAAAAATAAAAAATAAAGTATTATCTAAAACAAAGCAATGTTACCAACAATAGAAAAATTAAAGATAGATTTTTTTCCATTACCTTTCATGACCCCACTAAATACTATCGTGTGTAAGATTGAAGAACAAGGTTAACTCAAATTCACTTTCAAGACCAAGACACAAACTCCACAAATTGACATAAATTAATCTCAAAAGAGCACAAGATGAAGATGCCTTTGACTGGAAAATGCAAGCCAAGCACTTGTCAGGCAAATCAGATATATAATCAGATAATCCATCGAAACTTCCGTTAGGCTCCTCTGCTTCATCATCGTGCATAGATGAAATCAGAGCCGTTGATTTAGGCTTCGATCGGCGGCTCAAGCTAGCATCTCGGCGGTCTGAAATAGCGGCGGTCGAAGTTGACTGGCCCATCCACCACCACCACCACCATCACTTATCAAAACGAACGGCAGAGATACGGAGCCACAGGGTGCCTATCCTGCGCACTACTGCAGTGGAGCTTATGGTGGCAAACACCGGAGCCTGCCTGCGTCAGACGGAGGCTTCATCGTCGATGGTGTGCGGAGGGAGTGCAGGGTAAATTCATTTTCAAATTGAAATTCATGGGCTTAGCTATGAATACGAAATACATGAGTTTTATTCCTTTGAAATATAGGTATTAAAATACATGTATTTTATTAATAACTTAAGTAATTTAATGATAATTTCTTTATACTGTAAGTAAAAAATTCTAAATTCGAATAATATGACATGTAAATAAAGAGAGAAAAGGGATGAAATTGTGCAATCAACATAAACTGATGAGCAGGTATATCCCACATCCACAGAGGTATAAAAAATCATCTTGACCCAACATTCAAACATAAACTGATGGCAATATTTTTCCTTTGTTATTTAATGCAATGGAAAGGATCAGGAAAATTTTACTCTACCTCAGCATCATCAAAATTTGATGGCCAGCACACACCTAATACACATACATATGCATTCATCATAATATATACAGACAGACAACCTTTGAGCAATATTTTTATT